GTCCTTGAAAATACTGTGACAGCTTTTGGTGAGGATAATCAGTTGCTACTTAGATGAAGATGGATATGATATTTAGCTCCATTTCAACTAACCCCAGTTGATAATAGAAAATCCTTTATCACATATCCCCAGTGCTAGTGCTATGTCCTTCTTGTGGTGGCATTGCAAGTAAAATGTTGTATTCTATTGCTTACTTATGTGGTGTTAAGATGTTTGTGGATGATGGATATATTAATGCCTCTAGTGGACCTTGAAGAGTGAAGAAAACCAAGATATTTCTCCTCTCTTTCTAAACCACTATTAATAGAAGGCAAAAAAAGAACAAAAGGATTAATAATTTTTGCATGAAATACATAGCAAAAATATGTTTCTTTATGAAATAAAGAGTCATTATTTTACAAGTACCATGAGTTTATTCAACAATTAGTAATCTTTTTCAATTTTTTCCTCTTTCAGTACTGATAGGATTTTCTTTGTACATTTAATACCAAGAAAAAAAAAAGCTGTTCTGTTGGGAAGTTGGAAAATATGCTGACTGTATCCTCTGCAGAAAGTTTAGATCCTTTGCCAAAAAGAGCCACCTACCAAGACAATACAAAAGAACTCAAATAAAAAATGACCGGTATATACTTATCACTGATCCAATTAAAATATACCAGCTGCATCCTCTGCAGATAGGTAAGACACTTCCTTCAAAAGTGGGATGCCAACAAAGACAATGCATATAGATTGAAATAAAAAAATGACCAGTATATACTTATCACTGAACCAACTGTCTATCTAAAATATACCAACTGTATCCCTATGCAGAGAGGTAAGAACATTTCTCAAAAGACACCACATACCAAGACAATACATATAGACTCAAAAATAAATTAAAATGTTGACATTGTGTAAAATCAGCCAACCCAAACCAAGCCAACACACATTATTATCAAGGTAAGCATGAAAACAGTATGTAAAAGTTTCAACATCAACTGCAAAATGTTTTATTTAGAGTATTTTTACAGTACCACCCTAATATAAATCTTGTTTTCATGTGCCATTTTTGCTGTATTGCAGTAACCAAAAATACACATATAATCAGATCTGGCAAGATGAAAATATTTATATTTACACTTTCAGCATGAACAAGGAAATCCATTATTCCAGATACTTGAACAAGAAATATAATCTTTTTTGGTCAGAATCCTATTAGAGCGAGCAATACAAATGCAGAAGGAAGTATACCTGTGCTTCCTATATAACACAAAAGTATTTGACTAGGTATGGGACAAGGATTTATTTGAACTGTTAGAAAAAAATTATTTATTCAGAAAAGTTTGGTTTAGTTTGTTTTATTTTGCTTTATGGCATATCAACACCTCAATGGGTTATTTAATGCAGACAAGATTTTTAGGATAGATTCAGATGAATAGAATATGTATTCTTTGGTTTAGTTTAGTTTGGTTTGGTTTATTTTGTTTCATGGCATATCAACACCTCAATGGGTTATTTAATGCTGACAAGATTTTTAGGATAGGTTTGTATGAATAGAATATGTATTCTTTGGTTTAGTTTGGTTTGGTTTATTTTGTTTTTCAGCATATCAACCTCAATAGGTTATTTAATGTAGACTAGATTTTTAGTATAGGTTTGTATGAATAGAATATGTATTCTTTGTGAAAAATTCAATTTGTAGGTCAGGTTTCACTGACATATTTTTGTAAAGAGGATTTATGTTGAGAGTCAAATGTATTTCTGGCAATATTTTTTTTTCTAAAAATGTATTGTTGGTAAATTTTTTTATCAAAAATTGTATTGCTGGTAATATTTCTTTTTTCAAAAATGTATTGCGAGTAATAATTTTTTTTTTCCTCATATGTATTGCTAGTAATAATTAAAAAAAAAAAATGTATTGCGGTTAATATTTTCAGAAATGTATTCCTGGTAATAATTTTTTTTTTCCAAATATGTATTCCTGGTATTTTTACTATAAAAACCTATTTTTACACTTTCATAGTGTTTTGACCCCAATTTACCTATAGCTGGGACCCTAACAGGTGCTACTACTCCAGGTCAGGATGGACCTGGAAACAACAACAGAGGTGGTTCCACATTCCTTAAAAGCCTTCTGATCAGAGGCCTTGCGGCCAGATGCAGTTTATCATCATACCCAGGATGCTATTCAGGAAAGAATAATTCAGAATGCTTATTGGAAACAACCTGCCATCATATGAATTGAAAATGAATTGAGCAAATACATAAAAATAGAAAGGGGCATAAGATAAGGAGGCATTTTCCAACCAGATTTATTTAATCTATACAGTGAAGTGATTTTCAGAAACCTGAAGGTCCTGTCAGGATTTATCATTGGTGGGCAGAACCTCAGCAGCATAAGATATGCAGATGTCACTATTGTTGGCAGACATAGAAAGAAAACAACATGACCACTGAGACAAGAAAGTAAAGGAAAGTGAGAAGAAAGGACTAACCACCAATTGTAAGAAGACTAAATGCATGGTCATTAGCAAGATAGACTTCCCAAGATGCGAGTCAGAACTTGAAGATATAAAAATAAAGATAGTACAGAAATTTTACTATCTGGGACGTTTCGGCCATGTACACTCCAGACTTCATCAGGCGATTGAAATTTTGAACTGAACCTTTATTTCATCAACGGGGGTAGATTGTTCTAGTTTCATGTCATGCCTTTTTTTTTTTTTTTTTTTGGATGCCTGTATCTTTTGTTACAAGTGTTTTTAAGGTTGCATGTAATAACAGGAAGAGGTTACTTCATATTATCACAATGTCCCGGAGATAAAAGTTGAGACATGTTAACTGTCCAAAGGTTGATAGCGAAGATATTGTATTCAACGTCTTTTAGCAGGATATCCGTTTTCCAGCAGCAACAGTTTCTGTTGCATGCTGGGAGAACTTTTTATTACTTTTTATTTAATTTATCTAAAAAAAAAATTTCATGTAATTTGTTTCGTTTTATTTTATTTATAATATTTATTATTATTTTTTTTATTTATTTATAATAATAATCTCCCTACAATACTTAGAATCAGAAAGAAGCAAATTAAATTTCTATGATATGTAATGAGAAAAGAAGGCTTGGAAAATTTGATGTTCATATGACAGTGAAAACAAGATGGACAGATGGAAATAGCAAGACACCTGCCAAATGGTTTTTGCAAATAGATAGCAGATTAGGGAGTGGGAGTGGTAGTAAAAAGACAAACATTGCTAAGAGCTATGAAGGGTAGGAAGTTGTAGAGAGCCATAATTGTCCTCGTCCTGAAGGGACATGGCAGATAGAAAAAAAACTGTAGTCTGACCAAATATCAAAATCCACCTTCTGACATGTTTGCGTCTTCTTGTTTACTAATACAAAGTCTTCTGACCTGGATTATGTAATAATCCGTTTAAATCTCAAAGACCCCAGATTATCTTTTTTTTTTTCTTTCTTTATTTCTTGACTGAATGACTTCAAAGGATTAGAA